ATATGTATATGCTCTTCTGCTTGTAAATATGCCTCGTCCGATCTTTTTATATTTTACTCTTAAAAAAGCGGCATTTAAAAGCTTTACATGAACCAATTTCTCACAGCAATCAGCAATATAATACAGCAAACGTCAAACGTTACATTACGTGCAATACCTGCAACAAACTATAATATCCAACACTGGGAGTCCCGAGTTTAAATTACCAAACCTGTCATCTAGAAAAAAAACGTTACTTTCATAAAGCTATGATATGAATTGGTTAACTTTAAAATTGTTAATTATCGACCACTAACCAAGCCTAATTATAACAATTCAATAGTAAATCTTTTAAATATTCTACATGTAAATGTCGTTGTTAATAACATAATTAATGTCCACCAGTGACCTTTAATATGAACAATCGGTTAATAATAATAATATGTTCTAATTTACGCGGATTGAGAATATGCGGATCTGAACGTATTTCGGCGGCGCCAGATAGTTGTTGTTGTTTTGAAACAACTTTGGTTAGTGGTTCCAAATACCACATTATTATTAATGATATACAAAGATATCGATACTAAAAGTCACAACTGCTGGTCGCATCTGACATTTTGCCGGCCTTTCTTATCTTTCCTTAATTAGACAAAATACACAATAATTGGCAACTACTTCATAGTGACCGCACATTTACAGGGCAAGGTAATAAATAAATGTCAAATATTGTACATCCAAAATATTCTCTTAACATCGTCCTTGTAGACTTTCTGGTGCTTGCAATTTTAGATTTAGCATTAATGGGACAAAAACTGCAATTTAAAAGCATCACTCACCGAACTTTTGGTATCCATTGTTTACGTTTAGCACCTCCGCTTGAATCAACTGTGTTCTGTGATAGGATGTACACTGTTACGTCACTGATCACTATCACTCGGTCCACATGTTTATCCGAAGAGTCTGTTTATCAGTTAGAGGTACCTCTCTCGCCCTCTCCGTGTGGCCGGCGTCGTCGTACGCGCCTGTTCCAAGCGGCAAAGCGACTAGAGTCGTACTGAGAGTGTTGCAACAGTCGCCAAGGTTTATATATGAGATTGCACGTCGGCGTTCTGTTGATAAAGTTTTGCACATTTCAGTTTTGAAAACTGTTTTCATATTGCACAGTGTGTTATAAAGAACATTTTTCGGACATCCGGTTTTTATTCAAAAAACCCTATAGATCTAATAATTTGACGGTTAAAATATCCGGGTGAATCAGTAAAATTAATTAAATTCAGACTAAATTAATTCCGGAGACACGTTATCTGCGGCATAAGAATGGGTCCACCTTCGTAATGCTTTTTGTTAAAATTCCATTTCGCCGATGGTGAAACCCTTAAAAGCAAATCACCCAAAGACTTAGAAAAAACCTCTTCGTGGCTCAAACATGTTTAAAAAAAGAAAACAATTATATATATTAGTAACAATTTACCTTAAAATATTATGTTACAAAGAATTAACTGTCTATTATCTTTTGTTTATCTTTCTTCAAAAAACTTAGACTCATCTCGTTGAATATTATGAAATATATTAAAACTAAATTCCATGAAATTTTAATCCTTTTTTTTTTGTGAGAAAGTGAAGAATAATGAACTTTCAATATTGATTGTTGATGATGTTCCAAATACGGGGGAATATTCGAGATAAAACATTAAAAAGAAAATTTAAGAGTAATAAATTACAAAGAAAGAGGTTCAACTTTTATAATGTTTTTGTTTATTTAATTTTGTCCTCTTTTGCCCACCCACCAAAGTAGGTATAAATTTTGCACGCTCTTTAGAAGCTTTGTCTTTGTTCCCGTTGTTAACTCATGTGGCCTAGTTCTAATTTTTATTTTAATCAGTTTATTCACCTACTATTTCCCTATTACTTAGTAATGTTTAGTCTCAATATCCAAGGGTTGGCCAGGTAACTTGTAATATAGGTGAAATACCTACGTCAAGCATCAGATCCCACAATATATTACTGTAATGCGCTTACTAAGATTTGTATTGTTTTGTATTTTGTGGTGAGTAATAAACATATTAAATTTATTATTTACTTACTTTATTATAATTTATTAGTTACTTATTATTTCATAATAAAGAAGAAAATTAGTAATTTTACTTTTAAAAAAGGTCTATTGTGTTTCATAATATCCGGATATGAAAGTATCATATTAAAGTGACATCCCTGAAAAAATTATATAATTTGCTGTAACTTCTATACTCCACGAGATTTAAATTCAGTTTTTTTTTGTGAGATAATAAACAATAGGAGACCTCACTGTTGATGTAATTAACTTTTTCCAATACGACGGAATTTTTGAGAAAAAAAAATAAAAACGCATAATTTAAAAATACGTATTACTACGAACCTAAGAAAGTTACGAGATTTATATAAAGTGTAAGAGGTAATATAAATACGACGATAACTATTTACGACATTTTTATGTATTATTTTTAAATGAAGTGTAGGATTTTATTTTATTTTTTATTTATTTTCACTTTATTTCGATAAAAATTATGCAAATTTCAAATTATTTTTACCATAACTAAGCAAATTTGTCACTCGGGAGTTCTACTCTATTAAATCACTTGATCTGTGGGTTTTTGCAATAAAAAGCCATGTCCGAAAAATGGTCTCTATGACACACTGTGTATTGGTACATCGATAAAAAAACTAATATATAAAACCTTAATATTATTGAAAATATTTTTCTCGTCTTAAGATCAAATATTACATATTATGATAATATCGCCTTGAATATTCTCAGACTTTATTATTTTCCTTACAATTCTTTTCGTTATAAACAATATTGGAATTTCAAGGCATTATTAGTCAAGGAAATATAAGTGAAGCAAAAATAAACTGCATTGAGAATAAAATTAGTTCTGTTTCAAGAACGGGCCCATAAAATAGAACGAGTTGACAACCTGTTTTTAAATATCAAGTAAAAACTATTTTACCCTCGTCTTACGAACAAACTGCAGTCGTGTCAATTACTATCCGTATCGATCAGAATAATTTGAAACATATATATTCGCAGTAGAGACACTTTATTTGCATACGTTCGTTAACTTCATTTCTATATTTGCTTAAGTGCTCTACTTGAATATTTGTTCTTAAATATTCCAATATATTTAATCACTTAAGAATTAATTGTTGTGTGTATTATCTTGTTTCAAAATCGCAGAACTACGGAATGTATAAATATATCTCAACTTACTGCGGGAAGGGTCTCTCTTTACACGATGTCACAGATTGCACAGTTAAAGGCTACTAGTTAAACCAATGTCTCCAAAGTGCGAACCTACAGGAAAATGATAAAGAAGCAATACAGAAGCTATGTCACGTTGTCCATCGGCGGGACATAACGCGGCTCCAGGCTTGCGCAAGCGTCTCGTGGGCGAGGACACGCCGCTCTTGGAATTACATTACAGGAGTCAGAGGCTGACTTTATGCCTTGGATTTGTCATATTACGTCACACCGGATATCGGATATATAAATTCTGAAATCTGTGTGATAAACATTGCATTTAGTTTTATGATTAAAGATTTGAGGCGGTAAATGGCACATTTTTTTGCCAGATCGTAATGGCCCTGTTTCTAAATACGATTCTGTATTAGTATAGTCTGCATAATTCTAAAAGTTGCTAGTTCTACGCAACTTTTAGAATTATGTACATTGCTAAAGTTTAGGACACAGTTGCTATTGCTATAATATCTATCGTATCGACCGTCTGACTACTACTTAAACATTGTAATACGCAGGATATTAAAAATTCTAAAATATATGCAAATAGTTCAATATTATACAAAAGTTATGTCTAACCATACACACGTCGACTTTTAGCAGCGATGCAAACGGGCGTTCGTGAAACGCGCGATTGCATTGCTACTCTTGAGATTTATAGGCGATTGCATCTATGCAAACGCGCGACTGCATGGATACAAAAGCGCGATTGCATCGATACAAACGCGCGATTGCATCAATGCAATCGCCTATAAATACCATGTAATCGATATAAGCTATGTAAAAGCGTTTGTATCGGTGCTGTCGCGCGCATGCATCGCTACTAAAAGTCGCCGTGTGTAACCGCTCTAAGGATGTATACATTTCGAGTTCTTAGGTTTTTAAACTATATTTCGCATGTGTTTCGCATCTGAATCGCGTACATATATTACGCATAGGGCCCATATACGTTTCCGGAACTGGCCACTAACATAAACAATATTTATAAAGTAATTACAACATTTGAAAATGGCACTCTTTGGCTGTAGGATACAGTTTGTTTCATCTGACTGTCACTTGTTTTTACATTGTGGCGTCATTTTAGAAATTGGTTGTCTACATGACCATGGATTTAATTCGTGAAAATTTTCGTAGTATGATTATCTTCGACTTTAAGTGTAATTTAACGGCTCAGCGGAACTTCGCTCGGCTTAAAACTGCTTTTGGCGATGAAGCACCATGCAAGACCACTATTTATAGCTGGTTTGCAGAATTCAAACGCGGTCGTGTGAATCTCAGTGACGAATTTCGTGATGGTCCCCCGTTCACTGCTGTGAATAACAAAAATATCGATGCTGTGCGCCGTTTGATCAAAACAGACAGGCATGTGACATACCATGAGATTCGGGCATCTCTAGGCGTAGGCATGAGTCAAATACAATCAATACTACACAAACATTTGGGTGTGAAAAAGCGGTGCTCTCGGTGGATTCCACACAATTTGACTGCTGAGGCTCAAAAAACGGATCGCGTCACTTGGTGGGACATAGTAACAGGTGACGAAACATGGATTTATAGTTACGATCTCAAAACACAACAGCAATCGAGCGTATGGGTCTTTCGAGATGACCCGAAACCAACTAAAGTGGTACGCGTGCAATAGCCTCTAAGCGGATGATTGTTTCTTTTTTTAATAAAACTGAACATGTGGCTGCTATTGCTTTGGAGAATCGTTGTACCGTGAATAGTTGGTACACGACCATTTGTTTGCCGAAAGTTACCGAAACTCCGTAAAAATAACCGTAAACGCCGTATCAATAATGCCAGTTCTCACACGGCCAGACAGACAAATGAATTTTTGAAAGTGAACAACGTTGACCTTAAGAGCCATCCCGCGTAAAGTCCCGACCTGGTACCTTGTGACTTTTTTATATTTCCAAAAATTAAGAACCAGTTACGCGGTCAACGATTTTTCGAACAAGTTCCATAATCTGTTAGTAATGATAGAAAAAGAGTTTAGAAATTAATGTTAGAAGATATCTTATATTTTTAAGAATCAAATCACGTTCCTCACGAGAACTGCCACATGAGAGAGTCAGTCAGCCGTAACCGTAAAGCCTGTAAAAAGTTCTAAACGTTTGTTTGAAACAACAAATATAATACTTTCATTTTGAATATGCCTAAGGCATTTTGCTATATCCAATTATTGAATTGAATGATGATGAAATTAGTAGCAGTGGAGCTTGTGAAAGAGTTCCTGCAAGGGAGTTGTGCCACCTTACCTATTTTTGCCGCCAAGCAGTAATTACTACTGCGTTCTGGTGTCTCAGGTTGACAGGCGCAGTGGTAATCCCTCAGACCTTTGCATTTTGGATAGGCGTCTAGCTTACCGTCGTTTGATAGTAAGCTAGACGTGTTTACGCTACTTGTTCGTCCCGTCACTTGATATTATTAAAAAAATGAATGAAGACTCGTCCATTAGGATGACGGTTTTCTTTATAATGAGCCGTAATTATAGATACGACTTTTTCCTACTTTATAACTGCACGTTATTATGTAGACCCTTCCAACGGTAGTTGTTAAACTCGAGCACATTAAATTTTGCAGAAAACGTAACATATTCAGCATGTATAGATTATATTATAGAAAAAAGTCAAATAGTGAATTTTAGGCGATAGTGGATTGGATTATTGACTCCTGCATATTCAAGTTCAATTATGAAACTAAAACGCGTTACTCACTGATAGTACACAGCTGTTAAATTCGTCGACTGAATTTGAAAACCTCGTTACTCCGTTTTTGGACGAAATCCCTTTTTTACTCTTCAAGCGCAATATCGGATAATTAAAATATAACTTCTAGATAGAGATTGTCATATAATTATTTGTAATAGCTCTGTTTTTTGTGCTTACTTTAGAGTTCACATTAATTGAGGTGAGAGGTTTAATTTAGCCGACGTAATCTAGAGGACTTTATATGAAAGTCGAACAAAATTTGTGTATGGAACGTCACAGCTGTCACATAAAGAAAATCATTTTTTAAATTTATTTAATGACCGCGGATTCACGTCCTTCATTCGAAGTATTAGAACGGTTAAACACGGTGACTTTTAGCTGCGATACAAACGCGATGCAGTAGCTAATCGTCTGCCTTTAAACACACGTGCGACTTTAAGCAACGATGCACACACATACACACATCAAAAAAAGTTTGCGATCAATAGCATAAGCTCCTAT